ATATAAAGGTTATAATATCTTATTATTATTCTATAATGAAGATAACATCTTATTATCATACTAAAAAGACTATCTACTACACGAGTCATTAAGACTATCTACAATACGAGGGTCATTACTAGGAATAAGGTAAAATTACACGTGTGTTAGCTAAAAAATAAAAAATCATTCCTCTCCTTTTCTGTAGCTACATTCATCAAACACCTTTTGGCACTCTTCTCGAACTGGTTCATGCTATGACTGGCTTTGACATGTGCAGGCAGTCTATTCCATTCCTTTATTGCTGTACAATAAAAGGTGTTTGAAGCCTGGCCACTGTGGGTACTACAAAGTTGTGCTCTCTCCCCCTAGTACTATGATTGCTTTGGTTCCCAACCTTGACAAAATTGGCAGCAAGATATTCTGGACACTGTGAGCAATTTTATAAACATGATTTAGCTTCAGTTGTTTTACTCTGTCTTCAACATTCAGCATATCCAACTGCTGTAATTCATTCTGGCCTACATGCTCTCTTGTGCCCAGGCCCAGGATGAAACTTACTACGTATTTTGTTCTGGGTGATTTGCAGTCTTTCAGTTTTTTGTCAAGGCAGAGTACCATGAAGAGCAAGCACAATCGATATGACACTGTATAAGGGCTAGACATGAGGTCCTGCGAGCCTCAGTTGGTAGACATTGTGCTTGTCTATAGAGGAACTTCAGTCTGGCATTTGCTTTCTTTACTACACTGTTCCTTATCAATTCTCCTGACATACATGGGTCAAAGGGGATTCTCAGATATTTTACTGAGGAAACTGAAGTGATGGGCTCCCCATTACACTGGACATAAAAATTATTTACCCTTCTCAGTTTATGTTTCATGCCAAAGAGAATGGCTTCAGTTTTCCCGAGGTGTAATGATAGTTTGTTGTCTACTAACCATTTGCTGCAGGACTCCAGTTCCAGTGTTAATACATTAGCTATATCTTGTGGGTCTTTACCTGACAGTAACAGAGCAATGTCATCTGCATACAGTAGGAGTTTGCACTTGACACTGATAGGCATGTCATTAACATAGCATAAGAATAATAAGGGACCCAGAATGCTACCTTGGGGAACTCCACATGCTATCGGCAGGGGTTCTGATTCCGTTTTGTTGATTTTGACAATTTGTCTCCTGTTGCTAAGGTAGGACTTAACCCAGTCTACAGAACCTATACCGATAGCTTGAAGTTTCTTACATAATATATTGTGGCACTGGACAAGCACCTAAAGTCGGTTCCTGACCAGCCGGGCTGTGGCTCGTACGTTGGTTTGCGTGCAGCCAGCAGCAACAGCCTGGTTGATCAGGCTCTGATCCACCAGGAGGCCTGGTCACAGACCGGGCCACGGGGGCGTTGACCCCCGGAACTCTCTCCAGGTAAACTCCAGGTGACAGTATCGAAGGCCTTTTGCAGGTCTAAGGTTACCATACCTATGAGGTTCCCCATTGACATTTCAGTTCTCACGTAATCCATCAGATTAATTAGGGAGGTGTCGGTTGAGTAAGATCTTCTAAAGCCTGATTGATAGCTATGGAGAATATTGTTGTCATTAAGGTACTTAACTACTTGACAGTACACTACCCTCTCTAGAATTTTGGATATTACACTGAGTATACTAACAGGCCTATAGTTGCTTACATCAGACCTACTATTTTTCTTGAAGATAGGAGTAACTCTGGCCTCCTTGAACCCCTCCAGTACAGTATTAGTGGTGATGGACAAATTTATTATGTGAGCAATAGGGGTTAACAGTTCAGAAGCACCATCTTTTAGGAACTTACACAGGATGTGTATCCAGGCCAGTGCTCTTAGTTGGGTCTAACCTGCTTAGTTCTTTTTGAATAAAGTCATGAGATACACTTACTAGTTGACAACTGTTTGGGGTTACCCCTTTATTGTTATAGTATGCTTGAAACTTATCAGAGTCTGTGTTGAAGATATTTGATGCAGCTGGTAGTTTACTTACTAGTGTTGATGAAAACAGATGTGTAGTAGGAATTAAAACAATTTGCCACCTTAGACGTTTCATGGCATACCTCGTTATCGATAGTGAGTACTGTGTTAGACCTGTCTACTGGTTTATGACTATACCCCAACTGTTTTAATTGTTGCCAGAGTTTTCTGGGGTTATGCTTATACTCTTCAATTTTTGAGCAATAGTGCTTTGCCTTTGCCTAGTATTAAGTAGTCTGTTTAGCATTAAGGTTAGTCTGCCTGAAATTCCCTGGCATGACAGTGACTTTCTTTGTACTTAAAAAATCAAAATTGTAATTACACATTGTAAATTATCCTTATTCCTTATGCAAAAATGCAATGCACATAAAGGGCCTGAAGATCTGGAACTCTGCCTGAAACAGCAAGAGTTTCCCTGCCCACAAATTAATTTAGGACTGTACTCAAAAATCATCTCATCTCTCAATAACAACCATACTCACACTATATTAAACTCTAACCAAATTTAAAGCAACTTTCCTAAATATTTTATTATCCCTTAACAATTATGTATTTAAAGTAAAAGACACAAGTGCAACTAATGTGACATTTTATTGTGGCAACGTTTCGCTCTCCATTATTACGAACTTAAAAATGTATGTATGTATGTATCATAAATTGTACTACCTCATATTAATAATACAGTAAAATATTGAATATTTGTATTCTACCACTCTTCACCTGTCTCGACTTAAGTATTAAGTATATAAGTATTAAAATTAAAAATTAAAAAATTAAAATTTTTTATTTCCTTGTAAAGCTTACAATGTTTGGTTTACATGTTGTGAAATGTTAATTACAAAGAAGGCCACTAGCATGCCTAGGCATTTTGGGCAGACTAATACTAATTCTTACTCTATACTGATATAGGTCATGGAGCAGTATATTTAGACATACATTATTAGATAAGTACATAATTAGATACATACCTAGCTGGGCACATACATAATTAGATTTACAATATTGAGGTAGTACAAGTCAGAAAATATTACAAATGGTAAATTTAGAAATGGGATTGGATTCGTCTGTTTCTATTAAAGCTTATATATTGGAAGTGTGTCTTAGGTGGACTTAGGACTAACTTAAGATTTAATAGGCAATAGCTATATTAGGACTTTTATGTTCACAGTCATTTGGGTAGGTTTAAGTGTGAATTAAGGGGAATTATATATAATGAGAGTAGGATTATATTGTTTTGATTGTGTTCATGATACAAAAAAGAAAATAAGGTTAAGTCTGCCCAAAATGCCTTGGCATGATAGTGACTTTCTTTGTACCAATCAAATTATGAAATGTAAACACACATTGTAACCTTAGCAAAGAAATAAATTTTATTTTATTTTATGCAGCACAGGCTAGAAATGCATTTGGGATTTTGTAAGATGCATAATTATTGTTTACAAATGCAATTTGTACAGCTGCTGTGGATGCATGTTTGGGTTGCATTTAAGAAAGTGTAAGAAATTTGTTTAGGTCTTGGGTCTAAAATTTTCCAGACTTCTAGCATTAAATACAGTGGAACCTCAAATATCGAACTTTCTTCAGTCCAGAAGGCTGTTCGAGTGCCTTTACCGAATGAATTTATTCCCATCAGGAATAATGTAAATTAGATTAGTCCATTTCAGACCCTCAAAAATACGCTTATAAAAGCACTTACAAAAATACACTTACGTAATTGGTTGTGTTGGGAGCAGTTCGATTTTTGAGGTTCCACTGTACAGTGGTACCTCAAGTTTCGAACAGCTCCCAACTCAAACAATTACATAAGTATATTTTTGTAAGTGCTTTTTAAGTGTATTTTTGGAGGTCTGAAGCGGACTAATCTAATTTGCATTATTCCTTATGGGAACAAATTCATTCGGTGTCAGCACTCAAACAGCCTTCTGGAATGAATTAAGTTCGTAACATGAGGTCCCACTGTACGTAACTACTCATAACCACCTTAGCTTGCCTAATTCAACAATATCCTGTTAAATATTGGGTACTCTAAATAATGCATAACATACACTAACTACATTGCAATGCTTTTGTGACTGAATTCATTAGTGAATACGTATACAGCACTTACATTCAGTATTCCACGATTTCGTTGGCTTTCAGTTAAGCCACTGTTCTACCCGCCGGTGACAATCACCGGCAGGTGGAACATAATGAACATTGGCTCATTTTGAAGCCATCAGAAACGTGGAACACTGAAAAGAAAGTGCTGTATATTCGGGGCCCACCTGTACATAACTATTGCTTTGAAGTCAATAAATCTAAGTGCAGTAGTTCATTATAGTATACTTACAGTATTTACCTTACTTGCTAGCCAAACTCCAGTGTGGAGGCCTAGTCCTCGGACATATAATGTACTACTGTAATAGTAAAAAGCTTCTGTGAAGTCTTAATAATTAGATTAACAAAACAAATGATACAGCAGTAGACTCCCTTGATTTATACGGGTTACATTTCTGGTGATATTGCGACTTGGGGTACGATGAACACATGGGAAAAATAGGATTGCAATCTTGACACCTCCAAAAACAGGAAAGAACTTTTTTTTTTTTTAATTTCCTGATACAGTAGAACTCCTGTATCCACTGATTCAGCAACCGCAGTTTCAGTTATCCCTGGTTTACTGTGGCCCAAAAATGCCTCTTAATTTTACATAACAATGGCCTCAAAGCGCAAAAGTAGAGAAGCCCATCAGTGAAAAGTGATAATTTTCAAATTATTGTTCATAATTTATCAATTAAACTTTATAGTAGGTATGTATAGGACTTATATATAGGGTCTGCTACTATTCTCGGTAGGTCCTTGGAATGTATCCACTGTGGATAGAGGGGTCCTACTGTACTTCAAAAAATAAGTTTTTCTTACCTAACATTGTAGTTGACGTGGCCCTGCAGGTTGTGGTTGTGTGAAATTATGAGTCTACTGTATTTAGTCAAGCTGCACATTTCAAGAATAAAACTACCTAGCACATTATTAAAATAAATCTTACTTGTATTTTATCTAACTCTCCTGTGGAGTCCATTCTAGAGGCCACATTAACAGCGTTGCCCCAGATGTCATACTGAGGTTTGCGAGCTCCTATGACACCAGCTACCACAGGTCCTATGTTGATACCTGAAAATATAATGCTGTTGTTATGATACTTATAAAATGTACCATAATAAATTTTCCTTATTTTCACTTTTATACATTGATAAAATTCTTTGTTCTTTTATCTAATTAGATGGTACATCAGTAGTATTTATTATATCTCTAACTCAGGCTTTCATACAAGTTTATATTATGTACATGTAAAAACATACAGGAAGGCAACAAAATTACTACTTACCTATTCGTATTTTGAAATTATTAAAGGAATGCTCGTTTACGTACTCCAGCTGATCCCGTAACCTAAGAGCATAGTCTGCCATTGCAGTGACGTGACTGAAGTTTTTTAAGTCTCTAGATGCCTTTGTTAGACCTAGTAAGATTGTTGAAAATATAATATCAAATTAATTATTTTTGTAATCCTGTATCTCCTTGGAACATATGAGAGAAACATTCAAATTCAATTTCTTTATTTTAATTTTTGTTTTTATTATTAACACAATGGCCATTTCCTACCAAGGCAGGGTGGCCCAAAAAAGAAAAACTCATCATTCACTCCATCACTGTCTTGCCAAAGGCATGCTTACACTCCAGTTATAAAACTGCAACATTAGCAACCCTCCTTCAGAATGCCAGCACTGAACTGTACCTCCCATCTCCAGGAATCAAGATCAATTTCTTAGGCAACCTTAGAGTAGTTTTAAGACTACGTAGTTTCATTTTTAAAGAACAGTCAAAATACAAGCAACAAGATTATTCATTAAAATAAAATTTTGTAGCTGACTAGGTGAAAAATGTTCAGTTTATGAAATTGCAATTCAGTACGCTGCACTTACATTTACAATACAGTTCAATGTAAGTTATCTCGTTACAAGAGCTATGTCAGAGTGTAGGGATTGTAACAGAAGGTACATTATGTGTGAGTTGAAAAACAGCAGAACAAAAGGGACAGGAGAATGAAAAGTATGAAAGTTCAACAAGTAAGTTGCAAGATGTGTTTGACATTGTATACTGCTATTCCACAAGGCACAGTACTCACTCCCATTCTATTCCTCATCCTCATTTCTGACAGACAGGGATGTAAGCCATAGCTCTGTGTCTTGCTTTGCGGATGATACCCGGATCACCATGGCAGTGACCTCCATCGAAGACACCGTGAGACTCCAAGCGGACATCAACCAAATTTTCAAATGGGCCACTCAAAACAATAAGAAGTTCAACGAGGAGAAATTTCAACTACTCAGATAAGATAAGAGATAAGAGAGATAAAATTTTGTTCAGATTTTTAACCCCGGAGGGTTAGCCACCCAGGATAACCCAAGAAAGTCAGTGCGTCATCGAGGACTGTCCCCCAGGATGTGACCCACACCAGTCGACTAACACCCAGGTATCGATTTGCTGCTAGGTGAACAGGACAACAGGTGTAAGGAAACGTGTTGAAATGTTTCCACCCGCCGGGAATCGAATCCGGGCCCTCCGTGTGTGAAGCGGGAGCTTTAGCCACCAGGCCACCGGGCCACCAGATATGGGAAACTTGAAGAAATTAAAAATGTGTCAGGGTATACGACAAATTCTAACCATACAATAGAGAGGAAAAGTAATGTGAAGGACTTGGGAGTGATAATGTCAGAGGATCTCACCTTCAAAGACCACAACAATGTATCTACCTCATCCGCTAGAAAAATGATAGGATGGATAATGAGAACCTTCAAAAGTAGGGATGCCAAGCCCATGATGATTCTCTTCAAATCTCCTGTGCTCTCTAGGCTGGAATACTGCTGTACACTAACGACCCCCTTCAAGGCTGGCGACATTGCAGACCTGGAGAGTGTACAAAGAACTTTCACGGCACACATAAGTACGATAAGGCACCTAGACTACTGGGAATGGTTGAAGGTCCTTGATCTGTATTCCCTCAAATGCAGGCTAGAGAGATACATGATAATATACACTTGGAAGGTCCTGGAGGGATTGGTACCAAACCTGCACACGAAAATCACTCCCTATGAAAGCAAAAGACTCGGCAGGAGATGCAACATTCCCCCAATGAAAAGCAGGGGCGCCACGAGTACATTGAGAGACAACACAATAAGTGTCTGGGGCCCAAGACTGTTCAGTTGCCTCCCAGCATACATAAGGGGGATTACCAATAGACCCCTGGCTGTCTTCAGGAAGGCACTGGACAGGCACCTAAAGTCAGTACCTGACCAACCGGGCTGTGGTTCGTATGTCAGCTTGCGTGCGGCCAGCAGTAACAGCCTGGTTGATCAGACCCTGATCCATCATGAGGCCTGGTCTCAGACCGGGCCACAGGGGCATTGACCCCCGAAACCCTCTCCAGGTAAACTCCAGGTAATTAATTTTGTCAACCAATTCTCATTGTTGTTACAAGCTCTGCTAATTCATTCATGAAAATAGTCCTTACTCCTCTGTATACTATGTTTTCAGCTGCATCAAGCTAATTTACCCATGTTATGACAATTCACATGAATCTATCTGTAAAACCTGATTTTACTGAAATATTTTCATAAACTCTACTGTATCACTTCTCTCCCCTACATACAGTATAGTGTGAAAGCATACAGAGTCCAAATTAATACAAATCAAATCAAATCAAGTTTATTCTCTATAAGGATTACAATGCTGAGTTTACAGACTTTGGATATGGTGTGGGTTACATGTTTTAAAATACTAATTACAGAGGGGGCCACTAGAACACCTAGCATGACTAGGCATTTCGGGCAGACTTAGATTAATTCTTAACTTTAAAATATTACAAATTATGAGGCAAGTTGGTATTCGGCTAAGTGACTAAATACTAGTTTGTGAGTTTAGCATTGTGAATGCTTTTGTTTTTGCACAATACATAGTTTCAGTATTGGAGTATCACAGGCTAACTTATGACTAGTTAGGATTCATTATTTTAAGATTAATATTGATATTTATGGTCAAATGGGTGAGTGTGTAAGTGTGAACCACCAGGTGGTATTCATGTAATTAGTTGATGGGGTGTATCAGGGAGATAGGATGTTTTCTAATGGTAGTTTTGAAGGTGATGAATGTGTCTGCAGTTCTAGAGTTTTCAGGGAGGGTGTTCCAGATTTTAGGGCCTTTGACATACATTGAATTTTTGTAAAGGTTTAGCCGGACACGGGGAATGTCATAGAGATGTTTGTGTCTGGTGTTATGTCTGTGGGTTCTGTCACAACTATCAAGAAAGCATTTTAGGTCAAGGTTAATATTGGAATTTAAGGTTCTGTAGATGTAGATTGCACAGTAGTAAGTGTGGATGTACTGAACTGGGAGTAAGTTTAGATCTATGAAGAGTGGGGGGGGGGGGGTGTTGCCAGGGATGGGATTTAGTGATTTTTCTTACTGCGGCTTTTTGTTGGGTTATTATTGGCTTTAGGTGTGTTGCTGCAGTTGATCCCCAAGAACAAATAGCATAGGTGAGGTATGGATAAATAAGTGAGTGGTATAGTGTGAGAAGGGCATTATGCGGCACGTAGTATCGTATCTTGGAGAGGATCCCAACCGTTTTGGATACTTTTTTGGTTATGTGTTTTATGTGGGTGCTGAAATTCAGGTTGTTGTCGAGGTATAGGCCTAGGAATTTGCCCTCATTATGTCTGGCAATTAGAGTGTTGTCGATCTTAATGTTAATTTGTGCAACTCCTGCTCTGCTACCAAACATAATTCAATTCAATTCAATTCAAAGTTTATTCTCTATAAGGATTACAATGCTGAGTTTACAGAATTTGGTTATTGTGTGGTTTACATGTAAAATAATAATTACAGAGTGTACCACTAGAACACTTAGCATGGCTAGGCATTTCGGGCAGACTTAGATTAAATCTTAAGTTTAAAATATTACAAAATTATGAGGTAAGTTGGTATTATGGCTAAGTGACTAAGTACTAGTTTGTGAGTTTAGCAATGTGAATGCTTTTGTTTTGGCACTATACATAGTTTCAGTATTGGAGTATCACAGGCCAACTTATGACTAGTTGAGATTGATATTTCTGTTTATGGTCAAATGGGTGAGTGAGTGTAAGTGTGAACCACCAGGTGGTATTTGTATAATTAGTTGACAGGGTGTATCAGGGAGATAAGATGTTTTCTGATGGTAGTTTTGAAGGTGATGAATGTGTCTGCAGTTTTAGAATTTTCAGGTACGGTGTTCCAGATTTTAGGGCCTTTGACATACATTGAATTTTTGTAAAGGTTTAGTTGGACATGGGGAATGTCATAGAGATGTTTGTGTCTGGTGTTGTGCCTGTGGGTTCTGTCACAACTATCAAGAAAGCGTTTTAGGTCAAGGTTAATATTGGAATTTAAGGTCCTGTAGATGTAGATTGCACAGTAGTAAGTGTGGATGTACTGAACAGGGAGTAAGTTTAGATCTATGAAGAGTGGGGGGGTATGTTGCCAGGGATGGGATTTAGTGATTACTCTTACTGCGGCTTTTTGTTGGGTTATTATTGGCTTTACGTGTGTTGCTGCAGTTGAACCCCAAGCACAGATAGCATAGGTGAGGTATGGATATATAAGTGAATGGTATAGTGTGAGAAGGGCATTTTGCGGCACGTAGTATCGTATCTTGGAGAGGATCCCAACCGTTTTGGATACTTTTTTGGTTATGTGTTGGATATGGGTGCTGAAGTTCAGGTTGTTGTTGAGGTATAGGCCTAGGAATTTGCCCTCATTATGCCTGGCAATTAGAGTGTTGTCGATCTTAATGTTAATTTGCGCATCTCCTGCTCTGCTACCAAACATAATGTAGTAGGTTTTGTCAGCGTTAAGCGTAAGTTTATTGGCTGTCATCCAAGTCGATATTTTGATCAGTTCCTCATTAACAATGGTGTTGAGGGTGGCAAGATTAGGGTGAGAGATGACATAAGTTGTGTCGTCAGCAAAGAGAATGGGGTTCAGGTGTTGAGATACGTTTGGAAGATCATTGATGTATATGAGGAAGAGCAGGGGACCAAGGACACTTCCCTGTGGAACTCCAGTATCAAGTGGCTGTGTTATTGATGCTGTGTCTTTAATGGTGACATACTTTTACCTATTTGTAAGGTAAGATTTGAAATATGCAAGCGCATGGCCTCTTATACCATAATCGTCAAGTTTGTGGAGTAGGATGCTGTGGTCTACTGTGTCAAAAGCTTTTCTTAGGTCAATAAAAATTCCTAGTGGGTTTTGTGAGTGTTAAGCGTAAGTTTATTATACAGTGAAACCCCGGGTTTTGGCTGCCCTGGGAATTGGCCACTTCGGGTTTCGCCCACTTTTTTTGGCCAAATTTTGTCCCGCATATTGGCCATTGCCCCGGGTATCGGCCTGCTTACCAGACCTGTCCGCCTGCCCGTGCAGGCGTCGTGAGACAGTCTAGCATTGTTTTTCCTTGAATGAACATTATCCTGCACTCTCATCCTGCCAGCCAGGCAGCCATCCAGTCAGCCAGGCAGGCAGCCAGCTAGCTAGCCAGCTAGCTAGCCAGCCAGCTAGCCAGCCAGCTAGCCATCCAGCCAGCCAGCCAGCCAGCCAGCCAGCCAGCCAGCCAGCCAGCCAGCCAGCCAGCCAGCCAGCCAGCCAGCTAGCTAGCCAGTCATCCAGCTAGCTAGCCAGCCAGGCAGCCAGCGAGCCATCCAGCTAGCCAGCCAGCCAGCTAGCCAGTCAGCCAGCCAGCCAGCCAGCCAGCCAGCCATCCAGCCAGCCAGCCAGCCAGCCAGCCAGCCAGCCAGCCAGCCAGCCAGCCAGCCAGCCAGCCAGCCAGCCAGACCTGGCAGCTAGCCAGCCAGCCAGCTAGCCAGCCAGCCAGCCAGCCAGCCAGCCAGACCTGGCAGCTAGCCAGGCAGCCAGCTAGCCAGCCAGCCAGTCATCCAGCCAGCCAGTCATCCAGCCAGCCAGTCATCCAGCCAGCCAGTTATCCAGCCAGCCAGCCAGGCAGCCATCCAGACATTAATTGTGACTGCGAAATAAGCCACCATGGGCCCTGTGGTTAAGAAAGTGAGGAACACCCTAGCAGTGAAGGAGATAATAGAAAAATCTGGGAGTGGCGTTCGTTGGGGAGAGCTTGCCAGGATGTACGGCAAAAACAAATCAACTATCACTTCTATCCTGGCGAAGAGAAAAGAGCTCAAGGAAGCTGATGTTGTGAAAGGTGTTGTCACCTTATCCAAAAATAGATTTTTTTTTTTATTTATTTACAATTTGAGCACACATACAGAGGTACAAAAAAATACAGATAAGAGCAGCATGCCAAAGCCACTTATACTATGCATAGCATTACGGGCTGGCTTAAAATTAACTTAAGATTAACTAAGCAATGATGAAATCAGTGATAAAACATTAATGTAAACAGATTACTATAAAGCACAAGTGTTTTACATTGTTGTACATTCAGTCGTATGGAGTATTCTGTTAGGTAGTGTATTTAAAAAATAAAGTTAGATTGGGTTTTAGGTTTAACATTTATGTGATATAATTGTGAGAAACATTTAAGATAAACAATTTATAAGGTTCAGTTATTCAGTATTTATTTGGTTTTGGGTGAGTAAGTGATCTTTGAGAAGAGACTTGAATTTATAAACAGGTAGTGTTTCTTTTATATTTACAGGTAATGAATTCCAGATTTTAGGGCCTTTTATGTGCATTGAGTTTTTGCATAGTGTGAGATGGACACGAGGAACATCAAAGAGTGATCTATGCCTTGTGTTATGGTCATGTGTTCTGTTGAGGTTGGCAAGGAGATGTTTGAGGGGAGGGTTAATATCAGAGTTAAGTGTTCTATGTATGTAATAGGTGCAGTAATAAGTATGGATGTTTTGTATGGTGAGTAGGTTTAGTGTATTGAATATTGGTGGAGTGTGCTGCCTGTAGTGAGAATTTGTTATCATTCTAACTGCAGCCTTTTGTTGGGTAATTAGTGGTCTGAGATGGTTAATTGTTGTTGAGCCCCATGCACAAATTCCATAGGTGAGATAGGGGTAAATAAGAGAGTGATATAGGGCCAGGAGGGCTGACTGTGGAGCATAGTACCGTATCTTCGATAGTATTCCTACAGTCTTGGAAATTTTCTTAGAAATTTGTTGTATATGTGTATGAAATTTGAGTCTATTATCAAGGTGGATTCCTAAGAATTTTCCCTCTGTTAGCTTTGTGATAGGTGATCCGTTTATCATTATGTTAAGAGGGACATCTGTAGCTCTGTTACCAAACTGAATGAAGTAGGTTTTGTCAATGTTTAGTGTAAGTTTGTTAGTCCTCATCCAGGTAGATATTTTCTGTAATTCGGTATTTACAGTATTGGCTAGCGTGACTGGGCTCGGGTGGGAGAAGACGTATGTAGTGTCATCTGCAAATAGTGTGGGTTTGAGCAATTGCGAAGCATTTGGTAGGTCATTTATGTATAGGAGAAAGAGAAGAGGGCCAAGGACACTTCCCTGTGGGACACCAACTGTAATTGGTTGTGCAGAAGAGTTTGCCCCATTTGCGTACACATATTGGCTTCTGTTGCTGAGGTATGACTTGAGGTAGTTGAGGGAGTGCCCTCTTATACCATAGTGCGACAATTTTACGTGGAGCAAGTCATGGTCAACTGTATCAAAAGCTTTACATAAGTCAATGAAGATCCCCAGTGGGACTTCTTTTTTCTCTATTGCAGTGTATATATGTTCTAGCATGTGTATAATAGCATCATTAGTATTTTTATTTGGCCTGAATCCAAATTGCCATTCCTGGTTACACAGCCATACACAACTGTAGGCCAGACCAACAAGGAGGTGGCACAGCCATATACTACTCAGACCAACTAGAATGTATCACTAATACTTGCACAAGGGATGAACATGGGGAATATATAATAGCCAAATTCAAATCCAAATACCTACAAAAACCTCTCACATTGATAAACATCTACAGAGTTCCACAGTCAAACATTAGCCAATTTAGTCAAAACCTAGGAAGTTGAAGAGGTTGAGAAGTTGTTGGTGGTGTGGATCAACAATAAACAGAGAGTGGGTGATAGTGTGTCAGAGTCGATCATTTGTGAGAAGGCAAGGCAATTGCATGCCGATTTGATAAAGAAAATGCCTGGAACCAGTGCTGATGTTAGTGAATTTAAGGCCAGCAGAGGCTGGTTTGACAGATTTAGGAAGTGTAGTGGCATACACAGTGTGGTAAGGCATAGGGAGGCAGCAAGTTTAGACAAACATGTGGCTGAAAACTTCGTGAGTGAATTTAAGGGGCATGTAGAGACTGAAAAATTCAGACCCCAACAAGTTTTCAGTTGTGACGAAACAGGCCTGTTTTGGAAGAAAATGCCGAAGAGGACCTACATTACTCAGGAGGAAAAGGCACTGCCAGGACACAAGCCTATGAAAGACAGGCTCACTCTTTTGTTCTGTGCTAATGCTAGTGGTGATTTTAAAGTGAAGCATATACTTGTGTATCACTCAGAAAATCCCAAAGTGTTTAAGAAAAACAATGTCATCAAGAATATTGTGTGTCTTGTGGAAAGCGAATAATAAGGCATGGGTCACGAGGGAAATTTTCTGAGAGTGAGTCCATGAAGTGTTTGGCCCAAGTGTGAAAAAATACCTCCTGGAAAATAATTTGCTACTCAAGTGCCTCCTGGTAATGGACAATGCTCCAGCTCATCCTCCAAACTTGGAAGACCTATTGTCTAGGGACTTCAATTTTATCACAGTGAAGTTCTTGCCTTCTAACACCACTCCTCTCCTCCAGCCCATGGACCAGCAGGTCATTTCTAACTTCAAAAAACTCTACACCAAAGCAGTGTTTGAAAGGTGCTTTGTAGCGACCTCAGACACTCAGTTGACCCTACGAGAGTTCTGGAAGAATCACTTCAGTATCCTCCATTGCATAAGCCTTATAGGTAAGGCTTGGGAGGGAGTGACTTCCAGGATTTCGAACTCTGCTTGGAGACAATTGTGGCCAGATTGTGTCCAAAAGAGGGATTTTGAAGTGTTTGAGGCTGACCCTGACCCTCTGCCTGTTGTGGAAGGTATTGTGGCATTGGGTAAGTCCATGGGGCTGGAGGTGAGTGGAGAGGATGTGGACGAGTTGGTGGAGGACCACAGGGAAGAGCTAACCCCTGACGAACTTCAAGAGCTTCAACTGGAACAGCATCAGACCACAGTTCAGGAACTTGTTTCAGAGGAGGAGGAGGAAGAGGGAGTGAAGGAGGTGCCTTCTTCAGAGATTAAAGAGGTGTGTGCAGTGTGGACTAGGATGCCAGCTTTTGTAGAGAAACACCACCCTAACCAAGCTGAAACAAGCCATATCTGCAACATGTTCAGTGACAAAACCTTGTCCCACTTCAGGGAAATCTTAAGGAGATGCCAGAAACAGAGCACTCTTGACAGTTATTTTGTGAGACAGGGGTCCAGTGACTCTCAAGCTGTTCCTAGTGGCCATAAAAAACAAAGAAGGGAAGTAACTCCAGATAAGGACTTGTTACCTAAAGTCTTTATGGAAGGGGATTCCCCTTCCAAACAATAAGTCCTCCCTCTTTTCTCCTCCCTATCTTCCAGATGCCAGCAGGTCTCTTCAATAAACGTAAGTAAATGTTATTTTAAATGTTTATTTAAATTTTAATGTATCTACATATACATGTATATGTATTTATCTGTGTTGTGTGTATGTAAAACTAATTATTATTTAAAAAATGCATTTTTTGTGAATATTTTTGAGGGTCTGGAATGGATTAATTCTATTTACATTATTTCTCATGGTAAATATTGCTTCGCATTTAGGCCTAGCTCCTGGAACGGATTACGGCCGAAATCTGGGGTTTCACTGTATAGTTGGTACACTGTGGTAGCCTATTTTCTTTATATATTCTGTTGTCCTGTGTAAGTACACATCAACCTCACACCTGCATTATAGTACTGGATTACAATTGACAAAAAGTTTGATTCAACAGCTACACAATTTTGTCAAGTGTTAATATTAATAAAGTTTAGGGTGATGATTACCACACCCAATAGCAGAATGGAGTAACAACTTACCAGCAGCAGCCATATAGGTGGCTCCAGTTGACTTGATCTTCTCTATATACTTAAAGCGCTCCTCCTCAAGCAGCTCATCAAAATCAGCAATGATCTCATTGAGGAGACGCAGGCACTCCACGCCCTCATTGTTGGACTCCAACTCCATGTAGAAGTCGGAAAAGTTAGGGATGGAAGCAAAGAGGATGCACACACTCTCGCATTCCTCATGATACAGCTCCTGAAGGTTTAAGGAGGGTATTTATTGTAGTAAGGCTCTGTGCATAGATTTCTGTGCAGAGAGGTGATACAGGAGTGCATGGAAAGATGTTTGTGTATGTAGAGTGCACATGATTTTGGCTAATTTTGTTTTTTCCCCATTTGTATTTACAGGAGGAGGGCTATATTTGCACTGTTCTGCTTTCAGTTTTTAGTTTATCATTAAAATGTTTAAAGTTTTCAGTGCCATATGCCTAAAACACTACAGCACCTCTTTTATGTTCCATTTAAGCTATTTCATCCTTTTTGTGTAAAAAGATTTCCTAGTGTTGTATTAGCACTGCTTTTTCTTTCTTTTCAAATTGTGGCCTTCAGTTTTCCCCAATTAAGATACAAGGTGAGATGCTTCTCACCTTTGGCAGTATATAAGTCTCAATTCTCATAGACAAATCACCTAATGACAATGACAAATCACCTAAAACCAACAATAACCCAACAAAAAGCTGCAGTGAGAATGATCACACAGTCCACGCCTAGGCAGCCCCCCCACCCACTTTTCAAAGATCTAAACCTACTCACTATACAAATCATTCCTCCTACTACTGTGCCACCTACATTTACAGAACAATCAATTCTTAGCTTGTCAATAAAGTTAGGAATCCTTAACCTGTAAATAGCTTGTCAGTAAAGCTAGGGATCCTTAACCTAACCTTGTCAAACCCTGAAAAAAAAAAAATTGAGAGGTGGAAATTTTGACCACCTTTCGGTCTGTCTTAGACCAAAGTAAACATAATAATGATCCAGCATAGATCAGCATGTCGTCTAAAGTTTTTCCTCCTAGGTATGACTTTTATTCTTCTCATAGTTTACCACATTATTCTGTATCCATTCCATATTTTCGTCTCTTTCCCATGATTATCCAACAACAGTTGGGCCATTATTCCTTGTTTCACTTGTTTCTCATTTTTTAATTAACATAGTCTTAATGTGTCGTAGAACTATTTATACTTTAGTGTACATCAATCTCTTGTAATATTCATTATATATTTATTTTATGTGAAATACTCCATTGTTTTAGATATACATTTTATTAGTGGTTTACCTTTTATTTTAACTCATAAATTGCTAATTATAGTATTTCTAAATTCTCTAATAGATTTGTAATAATGTAATATTGATCACAAGGAGAGAACATCAAGGACATGAAGTATTTTTCTGGGGAGAGAGTGAGTGAGCATGGGCATGATAGCAGGACTCACATCAGGAGCCTTATCGACGCTGAGGAAGTGGATGGCGACGTGCTCGGGGAGAATGTTGGCGATGAGCTTCCTGTTGTAGGCTTGCAGGTGCTCTATGTCTTCCTTCTCCTCTGTAACAAGCATGGTCACATCACTACAAAACACACAGCTACACACTAACTAATGTAAACAAATGTATTTAATAAGTCGCTGCACGATCCCAGAAAGGTATCCTGCAGCCCTTAAGCCTAGGCCTGTCTACCACAGTGCACAAAAACAAATAGTGCAACATAAATTTCTAATAAGGTTAAATATTTAGTTATCTAGGTATGATACACCAGTATCAAAAGTTTGAAGCATTGCATAAGAAGCATTTTTCAGCTACTGCACAGAAATTAATTTGGTTAATAAAACTGGCAAGTTAAAACTTATTCAAACCCCCCAAAAATCATTGTAAAGCCTGCTTTGAGACATGCGAAATTTAAGTTTGAAGTTAACCAAGAGATGCAGTGTTGACTTATTGCACAAACTCCAATAATTTAAAATTTACTGTTAGTAAATTAGGAAATTTGCACCTACACCGACTAAACAAAAAAAAAAAAAAAAATCTCCTTTTCATAAGATGCTTCAGCTATTAAAGTTTGAACCCGTACAGAGCAGGCACATTTAATCTTTACAGGAAAAAATGCCATACTTGAATTTTCATACCTTCCATTCCATGAGCTACAAGAGAAGGGCAGCCGAGGGGTTAATTAAAATGTTGCAAACACCTATATGGTTCAACATAAATTCACAGCTTCCTATAAGTAAGGTAGATAAGAATTGAAGGTTGAAGCTCATCGGGTTATGTATTCAATAAATTTATCATGGAAAGCAAAACTTCGATCTTCATTTTTTCCATAAAATCTGGAAGGTACCACCTACACACCCCAATATTAAACTAAAATTGTATCTAATTAAGACATGATCATTTATGGTTTAAAGCTGATTAGAAGAGACAGTCTACATTTATTACATGGAAATAAATTTGCTTAATAAATTTGGCAAATTGCAATGTATAAAACCCAAAAACAACGTAAACCTTTCATTGTGTGATGCTCGCCATCACTGAAAGCTTGAAGCCACTCAGAAGAGGCATGGCGTTGCTCGGAATCCAACAATTTCATGTTTATGAATTATATCTATAAGATATTGGCAAATCTGCATCTAGAAAGCCTAAACTTGTTGGGTACCATCCTGTCTGTAAAATACATCAACCTTTACTGACTGAAATTGTTCACAAAAGGCATACACGTTATTTTTTTTTTTTTTTATATTTTTATTTAAAACTTACAACAAATACAAGAAAGTATAAGAGTTTAATAAAAGAAAAACTATACTGGATATTAACAATCACCTCTATCACACAATCCCAGTACTTAAAATAACACTATAGCTGATAGCCATATTACAACCAGTTACACATCCAACAACATGTCCTACAAAACCCCTCCTTTTACAATAATTAATAATGCCAGTGCAGACAAAAATATTTACATGCACCATTCTAAGAAATACCTTAAGTAACCTAACAATTAGGGTTATACCCTAACCTCATTAAACCTTAATGGGAATTTACCAGAAGTTGGTGATTCAAGAACAAAACAAAAACCAAAAAATATAAAAGTACAAACAAAAACAATAGGGACATTACATTCCTTAACACCACACCCAAAAGCGGAAAATAACCCCCAAAATATTAATACAATAATAATGCTCAACCATAAAATTTCAACTGTAAAAACAACATTGCAAAACATGGGTTTACACGTAAAATATAAGAGAATACTTTAAAAACACCCAGTTTTTAAAACTAGTGATGTAAATTTTTAATTAACCCAAGCTAAATTTTTAAACATTGAAACATTCAAATTGGTTCTCCCCACACAAGAACGGGCAAAAAACCCCCTCAGTGAAGACATACAGGCACTCCCTACATCTAACAAATCCTGCTTAAGATAAATTTTTTAAATGAGGGACATAAGATCCTAATCTCCTATCTGAAACCAAAGTATACATCCTTGACATAGAAATATTCACTACATAATGGTGTAAAATATTACAGTCCTTCTATATAGGAGACATTTTTTAAAGGAAATACTTGCGCTGCATTTTAAAAATACAAAAATAAAAGCATCATCCCAACAACGACACTTACCTACAGTTTTCCTTTTTTTTTTTAATTTTTAACCATCTCTAAAATAAAAAGATTCTAGAATTTTGCAGTACATTTTTTACATGTTCAGTACTGCATGAAAAAAAAACACCATAACGCGGGGTAACCCACCATCCTTGACGGGGTTTGTAAAAATATCCCCAAAACCAAAATATGTAAATGTATGACTTTTTAGGTGTTACTGGAAACCATGGACTGAACGCAAATATAAAAAAACCCTCCAGGAACAAACCATTCACAATGTATGCTCTCACTGATCCTCTCTCATCACCTTCCACTACTAACAAAACCCTTTTCCCCCCTCTCACTTTAAAAGGGACCCTCCCTTGCCCCCCCCCCTTTTCCCCGAAAATTGTGCCCATGAGTTTTACGATAACCTACCAAAAAACTTGACCCCCTCTCCCCCCAATAAAATCTTTTCCACACCTTGCCCTAAAGAACCTTGCTGTAACGTTTTTTACCCCTCAATCCCCTTTTTAATCTGCCTCTTTCCCCAAGAAACATGAAATTTTAGTCTGCCAAAACATACATCAAAGCCTCCCACTTCACTTGCTCCCCCACTAACATCCATCGAAAAAGATCTAAAAAAAGACCAACTCCCCCCCCCCCCCAACAACCTAATAACCCCCCATCCAGACCTCACCCGCCCAAAGATGAACAAAAATATCCCACTGATAACAGTTTCCTCCCCCACGAATAAGCATGTTGCCCCCACTAACCCCTTTTAGCAACCTTGCTTTAAGATGCCCACTCCCAGAGAAAAGGAACCACCCCCTGACCCTTGTGGACCTAAGCTTCCGAACTCCCTCCATATGACCCTCCAGTTATACAGGGTATACTGGACCCCCTGCAATACCCCCCTTTCCCCCACACCACACCCACCCTGTGTTTCCTTCAAACTTTTTAACCTGCCTCACTTCAACAGAATTTTATTACTCTTCACACTTTCTAAAATCCCTGCCTCACCCCCGTTTCTAGCATCCCTCACACCCTATCCCCCTAACACCCCTCTACCCCCCCACCCTTAGTATCTGCTTAATATAAATGCCGTTACCCTAGGCCCTAAGGCAAAAAACCCTAGTCCCCCCGTTTCACCTCCGTCATGCCCACCCCCTTTGGGCAACCAGGCCCCCCCAAAACCCCCACAAACCTAAACCCCCCCTCCCGATTTCCTGTATTCCTCCCCACCCTCAAAGGGAGCACCTCCGCCCCACCCCAGACCTTACTTACCCCAGGGAGTTAAAAAACCAACGCCCTCGCGTAACCCACTTCACTAACCCCAAACCTTTTAACATCCTAAACCCACTTGGGGCCCCTTTTTTCTGATTAAACCCTCCTACTTTTCCCTGCAACGCTTCATATACCATATCCCACACACCCTAATTCGTCAAAAACCGCCACCCCATTCCTCCCCCAATCTCCCCCCAACCCATGTTTCCACCCCAATAACCTAACTTTGCAAAAATTAACTAAAATTCCTAAACTTTCCCCCAAAACCCCTTATCACCCTCCCACCCTTCTTAAAGGGCCCCCCCACTCGAAACTAAAACAGTTTTTCCCCATCCAAAAAATAATATATTCCCCCCATGCTTCCCCCCCCCCCCCCAAATTCTCCCCCACAGCCTCAAAGAAAGGTTGTTCACACATGCAAAGAGAACTGTGAAGCAGGAAAACCCTGCCTTAATCCTTTTCCATCATCACCGTCCCCCCATTTTCCATAACCTGCCCCCTCATGACAGCCCCCTCATTAGGTGCGCACCCACCTCATACCCCCCCCCCCCAAAACCAAATTTCTCCAAACAGCCCCCAAAAAGTCCCCTTCACGCATCATAGGCCTGAGCCCAAATCCAACCAAAGGGACGCCCCCCCCCGGGCTTTCTCTATAAAATCCTTACCCCACTGCGCCCATTCTTCTAGTCCGTCCGGTATCCCATACGGGCCCCCTCATGATGCTATTCCCAATTACCTTTTTTAAAACCTTTACCAAATACCTCGCAAAATTTGTAACGTACACTTAACGCAACCTTAATCCCCCTTTTTCCCCCCCCCCCTTTCACCCAAAAAACCCCCCTTCTCTTTTTTTTCGCCTCTCCTTTTTTCCCAAAATTTACCCCCCTCTCCCAAACCCCGTCTCTGGGAAAACATTTAAAACCCCTTTTTTCCCTTTTTCCCACCCAACCCCTTTAACCCCCCCACCCCGTCCTTAATTCCCCCCCATTCCCGTCCCCCCCCCCAAACCCAAAACCCAAATCAAAATTTTTTAAAACCCCCCCCCCCCTTTCCCTTTCTCCAAACCTAAATTTAACCCCTTTTACAATTTTAAAAACCCTTTCCCTTCCTCCCCCCCCCTCCACAAATATTCCACTACCCAAAAAGCGCCTAATTTTCTTTCCCCCCCCCCTTTTTACCCTTTTTTTCCTCCCAAACCCGCCCCGATAGGTCAAAACGTTCTTATCACTTTAAAAAACCTTCCAAACCCCCTAACTTCTCCCCCCCCTTTCCCCCCCCCCCCCCCATAACACTTCAAGCCCCCTAATTTCCCAATCCAAACCCCCCCCTCCCCTTCCCGCCCCTTTTTTTTAAAAAACCCGCAAACCACCTTTTGCCCCCCCCCCTCTAAAAAACCCCCCTCTCCCTAGCCTCCCCCAAACCCCCACCTGCAAAACCACCTTTATCCCCCTTAAAACCCACATTTAACCCAAAAACCCGGGTTTTTTTTTTAAACCTCCCAAATCCCAAAAAACCCGTCGTTCCCCCGAAAAAAACCCCCCTGGTCAACCCCCATCCTTCCCTTAACTCCATCCAACCCCCGCCTATAACCCCCTGCATATTCCCACCTTTTCCCCCCCCCCCACCACACTACACCCCCACATCTCGAAAAACTCCCTTAAAACACCCAACCCCACCCCCCCCCCT